TTTATTGACTCTCTTGCAACGTAAAGAGTGCATTGCTGCATCTCAGTGGTTTATCTTACAAATTATCGAATGATTCTTCTCTTTTTGCAGCAACTGATGCCTTTCGCTCTAATAATAATAACTTTTAAGCAGATATAACTGACTTAATTGCTTAGTTCTCATTTCCTTTTTGTTATAAGCTAAAATAGATAATTGTCACAGTATCCAAAAAGGGTGTTTTTGCAACTGTCTTGTTTTGATCGTTTTCATTAAGAGAGTTTGTGTGAACATAAGGTGTAATGTAGTTATGTGGAATATTTGATGACATACAAAAACATTTACTCAGAGCTTTGATGTCATTTTTTTGAAATATCTTGGAAGTGTGAGGTTCCTAATATCACAGGTAAATACGGCACTTCATCTTAATCTTTGTTGGTATCCATAGTTGGTATCCTTAATGATCTTTTCTGTCTCTCTTTTAATGTAAAAGTTTGTTTGTTGCTTGTCAGTGGTTGGTCGTTTAAACAGTCTAATGATACTGCTTTTCTTGAATGTTTTAGCTCTGAGGATAATAACTGTTTAGCAGATCTAACTGATGGAATTGGTTTGTTTGGAGTTATTTCACACTGTTTAGCAGATTTGGCTGATGGATTTGGTTTTTAATTGGTGGTGCTTGAAATCCATTAGGCCTGCAGACATGCAAATTTGTGTTTTAATGCTCTAATTCCGTCAATCAATCTGAAACGCAAGCATGCCTAGGAAATAATCGATCCATTGGAAAATTAATGCTAACAAAAGAGGCTGTGTCAATATTTTGCATGTAAAAGCACTCACTCCGAAGTCTCAGGCAGAGTTATCAGTAAACGGCAAAGAAAACCAACATCTAGTATGGGTACACAAAACACCATTACACAACATTTGAGTAAGTTGAATTGGAATACAATTTCAATGTTAGATATGGCTATAGAAAATTTAAGTTGTGAGTTTATTCATTGTTTTATGCCAGTGTGAACACTCTCACTTATGGGTGATTTTCCCTCCAAGCTGTGGGCATAAAGTCCATTTGTCAGATGTGGAAGAAAGACTGATTGAATACTTGCCATTCAAATATCCTTTTTGCTTATAAGTCAAATAATTAATATGCTTGCTAAATGTTGTAGTCGTTTTTTTATGTAATGTCCATTGCTTTATACTCTAGATGTTTTGACGAAGAAGTAGATCGCTTCCTAGAAGATTTTTTTAGTATGCATTTTTATAATTCTTTATCTTTTCAAAATTGATACAGTATAACAGTCAGTAAGATTGATTTCTTTTTATTTCAGAGTGGTCATTGCTAGTTTCTTTCAATAAAATGTTTATTACAATAAAATGTATTTAAGAATATCAACGTCTCATGTTCTAATTTGTTCTTTTTTTCTGTCAAAAGTTCTTTTCTCCAATCATTGCAAGTGTACTTGATAAGTTCTAGCTCATTTACTATCGGAGTCATGTCTTGTAAACTATCTAAGAGGGATTTCATGACTTCTTCCTCATCAATTTCTGATACTGAATCATCAAATATATTGATACCCTTTCATGATTCGGCATCATCAAGCAATCGTGTCGTCTTTGTGATCGGTGATCAACACGACAACCGTCATAGTCTTTTGCTACAAATTTGTATATTTTAAAACCAATTTTAGTAGCATAGCACTTTAACAATTTATTCTGTATATTGCTTTGGCGTTCATCTAAAACATGGCTCTCATCATCAAATTCGAAGGACGATTCCTTCACTTTCTTTTCTTTCTCAATGTCTACTTTTAAAGCCATTTTTGTAAGAGCTCCGTTTACTTCAGGGACCATACCTGCACCATAACTACTACTATGGCGGAGACCGGTAATTTGTGCGATAAACATAACACACTTCGATCTTGTTAAATTTTTCTAAGAAATTGCGATATATTATGGGTCATTGGCAAAGAATATTAAATTAAGAAGTTGAAGGTCGTGATTGATCTATGAAAAAAAAAATACGCTTACATGAATTTTTCAACCACATCATGCGACATAAGTGAAGTAGTAATTGTTGACTATGGCCTGTATGAAAAAGCCCTTGACCTAATAAAAGCAGTTAACAATTTTGTAAAGAGGTAAAAGACAATAAATAAATTGAGCTTTGACCCACGACAGAAAAGTTAAAGTCCATATAAAACAGGGCTATGGGTATTAATCCAACAACAAATGTCTATCTTTCTTGATTAGAGGGGGAAGGAAGTAGAAATTTCAAATATAACTGAAAGCCCCTATGCTGCTGATTTGCATGGATCCGTGATGATATATGTATATTGCAACATTGTACAAACTCAAGTTGTTGGAGATGACGATGTAAAATTAATAGAGGCAATTTCTATTCAAGGATAATAGGGAGAATTTGTTTAAAGAACATCTACTAATATTCAATATTTACCAGAAATCAAAATCTTTCGAGGACATCAAAATTTTCTTAAGGGACGAGTTAGGAAACCCGATCTCACTTGAATAGGAAAGTAAATAGTGACAGCTCATTTCAGAAAACAAGCTTCGTCTTATTTTAAATAAGAAAAAAATATGAGTCGAAAAAACCGTTTTGTTCAGTATTACGTCAACCATTATCTAAAAGTATATGGATCAAAACCTGTCTACTGAGGAGCATCCTGGCAAAAGGTCATGGGCAGATGGGTTACGGTCATGGTGGTTTATTTCGTAGATTGGCTAGAGCTGAAATGCCTTTGGCATAAACCGGTGCAAAAGCTCTTCGCAAAATTTCAGGGCCAAATGTCTCGTGTGATGCTATCTCAGGAAAGCGATTTTTAGGTTGTCAGCGATTAGTTTTAGTTCGGAATTTATTTCTTCTACAGTATCTTCTTGGGCGTGTTTGTATGTCTTTGTCACAATCTCTGTTGGTAGTTTGTTGTAATTTGAGGCGTCCATTTCATAGATGTTTGTTGCTTTGTCGGTGAAGATAAAGACGTTGTTTCATGCGTTGATTTTGTTCATGCCTTTGTGTAATGATTTTAGAAAATCGTTGTGAATGTTGCGGAACTCGATTTTTTTGGATTAATAGGGAAAGGTCGTCTTCAAAAGGTTTTAAGGATGGAACTGGTGGTGGATTTCGCTTTGTATTTAAGCCGTAAGTGTGCGGTCTTATATGTATATTATGGAGGATATTCCTGGATAAAAGAGCGCTCAATATCCTCAATATCTTATATAATAGGAGAGCGTAAGATAAAATGAAATAAAATGGACAAGTGTTTGCTGTCGCTACTCGGAGTTTCACGCTGTAGGGTGATCTTCAAGAAACTGACAGATTATATATTATTTGCTGACTATATACCATAGAATAGAGAATATATAGAAGGGCAACTCGCGTCGGTAACCTTTGATGTAAGCGTGGCGCGCAGTTTCTTTCGCGCATACCAGAAATGTGACGGCCGCCATTACTCTGGCCTGTAAAGTGTACAACATTTACTATGAAAATATATGGAGTGGAAGCCGTAAAATGGGTTAAAATGTAGATTTTTTTAGCTGTTTGCTGTTTTTGGCCTCTTTTTGAAAGAAATTGAAATAAAAAGGCAAGTATTTTGTATATATCATGTAACAAATGCATTTATTTAATATATTTATAGCGAAATTCAGTCATAAAGCTTGAACAGGTTCTGAGGTTCACAAGTTCTGAGGACTTAAATAAACTTGGATGTATTACATGTTAAATATATTATTGTGATATAAAAAGCTTTTGTTTTCAATTTAGTTTTATAGTGGACAAAAAATTATATGCACAAAGCCCTTAAAGGTGTGTGACTTTAATTTACTTTCTGTCTTTCTTTTTAGTTGTTGCGAATATGCGGTTCGCATATTTTATGGCGTAATAAATGCGCATTCTTACAAAAATTTCGGCAAGAACTCAAATGGGAATTCCGTACAGCAATCAACTTCCTTTGGTATGGACTTGACAGTGTCTAATATACTTCGACCAACACCTTCGCTCTTTGTGTAGACAGAAAACATCTTAATAAATGTGTCTTCAAGTTTAATGATGTATTCCAGGTAAGGAGAAGATGGTGATTGTAGTCTTCCTAAATTAGATTTCTTTTCATTGAATGCTTTAAAGTGGCAGAATAACTTTCTGCTATCATCCAGTTCTGTAGATGAAAGAGCATTGGTGCATTTCAGACAAGAGTGGAGTTTGAAACTCTTCATTAGAAGAAAACCAGACACATATGCAATGCCATTTTCCCTCATTATGTTAGTAGCAACATTTGGCTCCTTGTAGTTAGTAGGACCAATTTCTAAAATTTGTGGTTGCGTAGGTGGAAAGACTTGAACCGTTTCCTTCTGGCTGACTTTATTCTTTGCTACATTTTTGGAATACTCAACCAGCATAGAATCAAGGTCGTTGTCACAATTTCCAGATGAACAGGTTATAAGGGAACTGAAGAAATGCTTTCTAAGTGCTTGCATAAATTGGGTTGGAGTGGGGTTATCACTATTTCCTCCCTGGCGACGAATAGTACCAAAAATGGAAAATGTACAACTTTATAACCTCGAATCAAAAAGTTGCAGTAGAGACGCACACGTGACAAAGATCCACAACAAACCCAATATAAAATGCTTTGGGCGATTTGAGAATTGAATAACATTAGAAACTTATTTTTATAAAGACATTTCTTAGTAAAAAATATGTGCAAAATAACAGCAATATAATATCATATTTTCTTAATGGTTACAATTTAAATTTAGAATGTGTGCATTTCATGCAATAGAATATACAGAATAAAATACAGCAATTCAGTACACATATTTGCATTCAAAAAATTTAATGACAACTTTAATTAGAGATGGCTATAAGAGAGGGGTGTGCAGCCCTCCTAGCTTAAGCTAGATGGGGGTGCAGAACAAATGCTAATTTCTCTATAAATATGGGTATACTAAACAATTAAGCTGAAGAAATTGTGATCAATGTTTAATAGAGCACCCTTACAAAAATCACCCAATCGTAATAAAAACGTAATAGAATTTAACAAAGAAAGTTTAACATGCTACTGCAACAAGTAGCCACTAAAATCTAATCCAACATACTAAAACTACATAACACAAGACACTTGCAACATAATCCTCACTTGAGAACTGAATGCCAAAATAACAACTAGAAGAAAATATCAGAAAATCAATCATAACTATTGGTAATAAATTTAATAGAGCACAAATCACAGCAAGGCAAAATTTATCAATAAGGCAAACAGAGTGTATACCTCACTAAAACTACATTTGGTATCAAAAATGCCCAACCATTAACATATTAACATTTCACTCATGCTTAAAATGATAAACAAGCCCTCCATGGTTTGAAACAGAATGTTGCAAATTATTATCAGCTATAATTCACACACAAGCATCATGAATCATTATTGGATTACTTGGTTAGCTGGTTGATTAACATGATTTATAGTTTAGCAAGTTGGCAAGTTGCAACCTGAAATATTACAGCGTTGGTACAAGTAAAACTCTGACAAGTTTGTGTTTTAAACAATACATTTATAATAACACCTCTATAGTTTGAAATTTATAATTCAGAATGGACAAAAACGCAAGAGATTTTACTTCTGGACTTCTATTCACCTAACATACTGACAATTCTATAGCAGTAAAATAAACACCCTAGATTGAAACATGTAATTTTTACCAATAAAAAACCTTTACGGACTTGCCAGCAATTAAATAATGGTCTCTCACCTTATTTCTTTCACGTTTTGTCACAAAATTTCATGATTTTCCAAAACAGTTGCGTTTTACGCATTATTATCCCAAAATCACACTTTTCCAATATTATTTTATAGTACGCCAGCGTCAAGTTACTGGCCAGAGTAATGGCGAACCTAACGCATGCGCACAGAAAATATGCCCCGCGTTTCACCTGCGAGTTGCTCTTCTATATATTCTCTATTCTATGCTATATACATCGATTAAAAGGTGTTAAGTTGCAGTTAAGATCGGAACGTTTATTTAAAATGTTCTTTTTACGTCCTTTCAGGATAATTTAGGGTGTTTTAGTTTTTGTTCCGAGGTGGAAGTTGTTTGATGAAGTCCCATTTAATGTTGTAGTTACGTTTGTTTTCTTCAGTGACCACGTGTGTTTAGAAAGTTCTTTCGCGTTGTGGTATTTAATGTTCGTAATTGATTTTGGGTGGTTTTGATATCATGTCTTAAAAGAGCGTGCAGTAACCCCTATATAAATTTTTGTTTCGTTGTTGTCAGTCGCTGTCACGTCGGCTTTGTAAATCACGTTGGGTTTCGGGCAATTGCCATTCATGGGGCATAGGTGTTTCTGCCTGCAGTTACATTTCTTTGGCGGGTTGTTCTTGTTCTGGGTTGTTTAAAACACAGAGCATTGTCTGTTTAAAATAGTCTTGTTGTGTCTGGTTATGAAAGTTTTCATGTTTTCGCCGCAGCTGTAGCTTACGCGTATTGTGTGTCTGTTGAATATTTTGGAGAGTATATTTTTTGGTGGGAAATGTTTGTCGATAAGTTGTAGGAAGTCGTGGGCAATGTGTGTTTTTACGTTTTTGCTGTATGGTGGGTTAAACCAAGTGACGTTACGTTTTCTGTTGCACGTTGTGTGTACATTGATGTTTCATGGGTTAAAGGTGGGGGAGTTTGTTTGTTCAAGAGCTTGGTTGTAAATTGGTGCGGCATTTTCGAAGGGGTCTTTGCTAGATGAGAGTGTGTTAATTCGGTTGTTGACGGATGTGGGTAGTTGGCGTAAAACTGATATTCGGTGGTTGGATGATCTGTGAATGTTGAGAGGATCGTCGTTGGGTTTTCTATATTGTTGGTAGGTGTCGTTGCTAAGTTCAAAGGTTACGTCAAGGAAGTTTGTGCGTTCATGGTTTGTCATCGCTATGATTTTTAGTCCAAGATCGTCAAATAGGTGTGAGAGGGTTTTTCTTTCTTTGTCGCAGAGTCTTCCCTATTAATGTTTTTATGAATGTTTTTATGCAGTGCGGTGTTTGAAATTAAATGAGATATGATCTTCGCACTTAGCTGGACAATTTAAGCAATCGTCTCAGGACCTGAAAAAATCAGGTGACTCAACGGGATTCGAACCCATGACCTCTGCGGTGCCGGTGCAGTGCTCTGACCACTGAGCTATGAAGTCACACAGTGGTGAGCAGGTCAATATTGTTGGGCTGATGTTTTCTCGTGAAATGAATGTCATATAAATGTTTTTATGCAGTGCGGTGTTTGAAATTAAATGAGATATGATCTTCGCACTTAGCTGGACAATTTAAGCAATCGTCTCAGGACCTGAAAAAATCAGGTGACTCAACGGGATTCGAACCCATGACCTCTGCGGTGCCGGTGCAGTGCTCTGACCACTGAGCTATGAAGTCACACAGTGGTGAGCAGGTCAATATTGTTGGGCTCATGTTTTCTCGTGAAATGAATGTCATATAAATGTTTTATGCAGTGCGGTGTTTGAAATTAAATGAGATATGATCTTCGCACTTAGCTGGACAATTTAAGCAATCGTCTCAGGACCTGAAAAAATCAGGTGACTCAACGGGATTCGAACCCATGACCTCTGCAGTGCCGGTGCAGTGCTCTGACCACTGAGCTATGAAGTCACACAGTGGTGAGCAGGTCAATATTGTTGGGCTCATGTTTTCTCGTGAAATAAATGTCATATGAATGTTTTTATGCAGTCTTCCCTATTGGTATTTATGACTGCAAGGCCATCGTCACGGTATAAGCCGACGTTGTTTCTGTATCGGTGCTTTAGTTTGTCGAGTAAGAATAGCCCTACAAGCTCGCAAACTTCCGCTCCATCATAGCTGCCCATGGTTACATCAAACGTGTTGGTAGCGTTGCGTTTGGTCCATGTTTTGTTTTGCTGGAAAAGAAGTGATTTTCTTGCGTGTTTTATAATGGTGAGGTCTTTTTCTGTGATTGTTGTGTATTGTTTTGCCCACGATAGGCATTTGTCCAGTAGGTGTTCGGTGATCGAAGGGTAAAAGTCTACTATGTCAAATGCGATGAATGATTTTCTTTGATTTTCGGTGATGGACTTAAACCAAGTGATAGCATCTATTGTGTTGCGCCATTGGTTTGTGTTGTGTTGCGCCATTTTCTGGTTTTCAAAGTGTGGTTTATGCTCCTTTAAAGACATGAACGCTGGAGTATGGTTCATGGTGTTTATTCGGTCGGCGATTTTTAGGTTCTCAGCGATTAGTTTTAGTTCGGAATTTATTTCTTCTACAGTATCTTCTTGCGTGTGTTTGTATGACTTTGTCACATTGTCTGTTAGTAGTTTGTTGTAATTTGAGGCGTCCATTTCATAGATGTTTGTTGTTTTGTCGGCGAAGATGAAGACGTTGTTTCATGCGTTGATTTTGTTCATGTCTTTGTGTAATGATTTTAGAAAATCATTGTGGATGCTTCGGAACTCGATGTTTTCGATTAACAGGGGAAGTCGTCTTCAAAAGGTTTTAAGGATGGAACTGGTGGTGTTATAAACCTGAAAACTCGAGGACAAGTCATCGGCTTACCAGCTAAAGACAGTTATCTCAGAAACCTCGTCACCAAAACCCACGAATTCGTACAACGCATCAGATGGAAAGCCCACATCTTCTGGGGTTTTCCTCTTCCTGTTTGAGCAAACTGTTGTGTATGGTTTACAGATTTTTTCCCTGTTACCTTTGCTGCTTGATTAACACGAGATTTTGCAGACTTTTTAAAACTTTTCTCTGAGATAACATCACCCAAAACGTTTGCACCTGTATCGAAGGCAATTTTACCTAGAGCTTTTGCGCCGATTTTTGCCAAAGGTATTGCAGCTCTAGCCAATCTACGAAATGAAGCACCAAGACCATAACCCATCTGCCCTCAACCTTTTTGCCAGGATGCTCCACTAAAGACAGGTTGTGATCCATATTCTTTTTGCTGATTGAGATAATAATGAACATTACTGTTTGTTCTACTCGTATTTTTTTTATGTAAAAGAAGAGGAAACTTGTTTTCTGAGATGATATGTCACTACCGACTTCCCTCGTTCAAATGCGATGGGATTTCCTAAATCGTCCCTTAAGAGAATTTCGATGTCCTTAAAAGATTTTGTTTGCACTGGTAAGTATTGGATATTAGTGAATGTTCTTGAAACAATGTCCAAATATTTTCCTTGAATAGCAATTGCCTTTAGTAATTTTACATTGACGTCTTCATTTTCTTTATCTGTGAGATTTCATATTGTAATAGGAATCCTTGAAGGAATCGCATACCAACTATGACAAAGCAAACAACTTAATTCAATGGTGGTAAAATGAAAAATCAATTCCTCTTCAATCGCTTGCTGCTGCTGTTCGTAATGGTTCTGAAAACTCATTATCTAATGACTAAATTTCGACATGTTTTGTTGCTCTGCTTTAAAGAGTTTAATAAGTGTGAGCTAGAAAAGCTGTGGTTTAAATTATGGTAGAGAATTCAAACATCAGCAGCCTTTGATTCAAGAGATGATATTATCATTGTCGTTTACACAACCACCAACTCCATACCACAATGCTTCTTTTAATTCATGCACTAGACATCTAAAGAATCTACCATAGTTGTAAATTTGGAGAAAAAATAAATAACGTTTCCTGTGTATTTTGATTGCTATATAGGTTTTTCCAATAACATTTCCAGAAGATTTCCTATAGCAATTTTAATATTCATAAAGGTTTTTAATTCCCACTATATTTAAAGGATTTCCAGTCGGAATTGCAAAACAAATATTATTATGGATTCCTATAGGATTTCCTACAGGAATTTAAATATTCCTATAAGCTTTAAAATTGCCGCCATTTTCTAAATATATTTCATATCGGAATCGGAATAAAAATGATTCACTTTTCCTTCCTATAGGATTTTCTACAGGAGTCTTATATTCGTATTGGAATTCTAATAAGATCCTATTAATACTTTTTGTAAGGGTTTTACAAATTGCTATTCAAGCACTCTATCTTTTCGTTTACCAACATGGTGCTACTGATGTTGCAACTTGCTCAAAAAGTCATTCATGCTTCACAAGTTACCACTGTGATGAATACAAAAATATTTTGGCCTCAGATTATTTTCATAGTGGCCATGCAGCAGCGCTTCTGATATTTTCAAACACCTGGATAGACAATTTTGGTGATTTGAATGTCCTGCCAAAGGTTCTTTATAATGTATAAACTAATAGGAGGATAATTTGATTTGTCACTTGTTCCAGCTACGACAAGACTTCAAATGCTAGAGCAAATATCTTCAATATTCTCTGCAAAATTCTTATAAGATAAAGTTAAAGCTGATGACAAACCATATACCGAGTACACATCTCGTCAGATACATAACTGCTTTGAAAATATTCCGAATAAACCCTAATTTGTCAAAACGGACGTCGAATTAATGGATAAATTGTTGAAAGATTGATGTGTTAACTGTATCCACACAAAAAATATTAAAAAATGGCAAATTTATAGAAATAGTTTGTATTATTTGCCAAAACCTTTCTGTAGAACTATAATCTATATTACTATCTGGCTGCACTCATCTGGCTGGAAAAATGGCCGCCGTTTAAAATAACCGGATTCTAGAACTCAAAACAGGGGACACGAACATCAAAGGCTCGAAAATCGAGGGGCACTTCCGTTACAATCCTTATTCTGTGATATTGTAATTGCACGTGTCAAGCCATATCACCTTTTTACGTTCGATAAAAAGTCGTCCAGTTTGTCACTTGTCACTTGTC